GACCTGACCCCAAGCAGACCTGACCTGACCCGAGCGGACCTGACCTGACCCTGAGCGGACCTGACCCCAAGCAGACCTGACCCGAGCGGACCTGACCTGACGCCAAGCGGACCCGACCTGACCTGACCTGAGCAGACCCGGCACCCTGGAACTGGCGACTTCTGTATACTTTGGGTCGAAACTCAGATCATCCCGTTCAGGCCGCGGGGTTCCCTTTGTGATATTCGGGGATCAGATTTCATATTTATAGTTGATAATATATCTGCAGGTTACATATGAAATACAATATTGTTACATTGTTACAAGACGATAAGCGGGATGTTTGCAGTAGAATTGTAGGACGATTCTTCCCATCGGAGTCTCAGGTCTGATTATTGTTCTCCTTCCACACAGAGCTTGGAAGATTTCCCTCCAGGACATGAAGTCCACTCCGGTAAGACGCTCGTTGTGATAAGACTTTCTCTGATTTACCGAATCCTGAGAATAATGTGCACAACCCAAATGATACCATTTCCACCAATTGGCTCGGCTCTGATATGAGTTCATCAGTGAAGGCCGAGAATCCCATCTGACTCATATAGCTCTATGGTGATAGTTTTACCGAAACGATGTTGAGAACAAGGGAGAGAATTCGGCCACATCCGAGTCAGAGGATTAGAACATTCACAGGACTAGAGCTGGGCCGAACACACCCGAGTTCGGTTCGAGTTCGAACTTTAGAACATGTAAAGAAGGGGGGTACATGTATGGGGATCCGGGTACTGCTCTGGGGGACATGTATGGGGATCCGGGTACTGCCCTGGGGGACATGTATGGGGGTTCGGGTACTGCCCTGGGGGACATGTATGGGGGTTCGGGTACTGCCCTGGGGGACATGTATGGGGGTTCGGGTACTGCCCTGGGGGACATGTATGGGGGTTCGGGTACTGCCCTGGGGGACATGTATGGGGGTTCGGGTACTGCCCTGGGGGACATGTATGGGGGTTCGGGTACTGCCCTGGGGGACATGTATGGGGGTTCGGGTACTGCCCTGGGGGACATGTATGGGGGTTCGGGTACTGCCCTGGGGGACATGTATGGGGGTTCGGGTACTGCCCTGGGGGACATGTATGGGGGTTCGGGTACTGCCCTGGGGGACATGTATGGGGGTTCGGGTACTGCCCTGGGGGACATGTATGGGGGTTCGGGTACTGCCCTGGGGGACATGTATGGGGGTTCGGGTACTGCCCTGGGGGACATGTATGGGGGTTCGGGTACTGCCCTGGGGGACATGTATGGGGGTTCGGGTACTGCCCTGGGGGACATGTATGGGGGTTCGGGTACTGCCCTGGGGGACATGTATGGGGGTTCGGGTACTGCCCTGGGGGACATGTATGGGGGTTCGGGTACTGCCCTGGGGGACATGTATGGGGGTTCGGGTACTGCCCTGGGGGACATGTATGGGGGTTCGGGTACTGCCCTGGGGGACATGTATGGGGGTTCGGGTACTGCCCTGGGGGACATGTATGGGGGTTCGGGTACTGCCCTGGGGGACATGTATGGGGGTTCGGGTACTGCCCTGGGGGACATGTATGGGGGTTCGGGTACTGCCCTGGGGGACATGTATGGGGGTCCGGGTACGGCCCTGGGGGACAGGAATCAATGAAAAAAACACTTTTAAAACATACAGTTTTTATAGGAGCCGTGATTTTAACATTGCTTAAAGTGAAACAATAAAAATGAAAAATGCCTGCCTGTGAAGTGGCGGATCTGTGCGATGTATAGAACCTGCTGCAGCAAAACTGACATTTGTAAAGAAAAAAAAAAGTCCGGTTCCCCCTCCCAAACAATACCAGACCCTTTAGATCGGGTCGGAATGTTAGGAGGGACCCCAAGTTACAATTTAAAAAAAAAAAGTGTGTGGGGTTCTCCCTCAAAGTCATAACAGGCCCCTAAGGTCTGGTAGAAATTTTAAGGAGGAACCCCACCCCCAAAAATGGAGACATAAAAGACTTGGGGTCCCCCGGCAGTGCAGGAAACAGAGGGGGGAGGGGCAAGCCTCCCAAGCTTCCTCACAAGCCCTGGGGGCGTTGGTTGTGGGGGTGCGGGCAGGGGCTTATTCACATCAGGGTACCCCTTTAGT